ATATTAAATGCAAAACAATAAACTCATTTATTAAAATTAAATAAAGATATTGTTTAAAAAAAATAAAAGCAAGTAAGCTCACAATGGATATGAACTAAAATAAACTTATCTCAAACCAACTTTTTATTTTACTCTTCCGGTCTTAATAAGACCCTTATATACTAGTATAAGCTTATACTTATACCTGAGGAGTACAAACTCAACTCACAAATTTTTAGTATGTGAACCTTATATATCTAATTCATATTATTATATTTAGTATGATATTCTTTTTTCCAAAATCATGTATAATCATCCAAAGAATCATTGCTACCTTGAGACTATGAATAAATTTTAAAATAAAAAATTATACACAAAAAATATGTATAAAGACACAGAGATAATTACCTAAACAAAAAAGTGTGTGAGAACTCAGTGGATCTTAAAACAAAGAAATCTCTCGCTTTAGAAAGCAACAAGAGCACTTTGATTTAGAAAAATGCCGCCCTTTTTTTTCTAAGGTGGGTCCAAAAGCATATACAATGCCCTATGTCTTGGGCAATTATTAATACACCAAATCTGAATTATAAAATCAAACGTTAATCATTGTGGGGCCACGTGTCTCTCTCCATATTCCCGCTATTTCAACGACTCCCTGACAATATCTTTGAATTATGTGTATTTCACTTTTTGAAAAATCCCACCCTACTCTTGTTAGTATTATTTATTAGACTCACTGATCGTTGATTTTATATCTTTAAAATAACAATTTAATGCTGCATTTTTAGTTATGGTTTGGTTAGTTTTAGGTTATAAGTCTTCAATCGTATGATACACATGAGAAATAGTAGTTTTTGAAAATATATACTCATTTTGTTCTTAATATATGATCTAATTATTGAGTTGATTTTAGTCCTATATAAAGTCTATTTCTTATATTTATTAATTTCTTTTAAATTATCCCTATGAATACTTCCTAAACTATAATCAAGTAAAAGAGAAAATGAAGATATTAACGAAAATGATTATGATATTTTAGAAAAAACATGTTATATTTTTTACAATTAATTAATTTGTCTAACTTCTTTAATCTAGTTAGATTAGTTAAATAGTTGTTATATTAACAATAGAAGGAGTAGTAATATAAGAAAACAATTTAATTAAACAAGAGTAACTTTTATATAATGCAAATTAAAGGCGATCGTGTCATCATGGGACACTATGTCAATAATCAATCAATAATGTGAGAACCTCTGATGGATATACAGAAGCTTGTGAAAGAAGATAGACAAATATATATATATATATATATATATAAATATTGAAAAGGGTTTTCACCATTTAAGTACAAAACTTTGATTTTTTTTTTTGGTCAAAGCAAAACCTTGGGTTGGAATCAATATGAATGCACGTAACACTCTTGAGAGAATTATTTTCAATTGAATCTCATAATACTCAAATATAAGCTTATGACTATATATAAATTAGCTCTGATCCTTAATATAAGAACTAACTGATTAATTTAAATATATGAAGAAAATTAATTAAGTTAGTTATTTATAATGAATAAGTATTATCTTTCCTAAAATATTCTTGTTAATCAAGTGTATTAGCTAGACTACTATTATTACAAGAACTATTTTAAGAAAAATAGATAAATATGAAAAACAAAACTGACTGTAGTTTTATATTTAGAATCAAAATAAAAGTCAAACGAGCTCTTATATTAATAACCGGAAGTAGTATATAGTAGCATAATAAAAACCATAAAAGAAGATAAAAGCAAATGAAGCATAGTTGGACATATTTTATTATTTATAACACTTCTTGTGTTTCTAAGCCAATGTTTGAAGCGAGAGAAATGGAAGGAAGAAATTTTTTTAATAAGTTTGTTTTAAAATATTGGAAAAGTGAGTTTATAATAATCTAGTAAGGAGAAAATGTAACGTAAAAAGCTAAAAAAAATGAAAAACCTTTAATTTTGTTTGTTTAATTTTTTAAATCAGCCTCATTAAAATTTGTTCTTCCTTCTTTGCAAAACGTGGCTAATTTTAACATACTTTTGTGACTATTTTCTACAAAAAAACCATTAATTGCCATTTGAAATCCGGAAAATGCTTTACATGCCAAAACACAAGGCTCTCCAAGGTATGCTTTATATATTCATGACAAAAAAACTAAATAAATTGTATTTCTTCTGGTGAAAGGTTTCTACACATAGTGCTAGGACTATATCAATTTGAAAAATGTGTTATTAGGAAAATTACATATTAGTCGCTTGGCTAGGAAATTAATTATTAATGGAAAAAAATAATAGGTTTCAAATAAATTATAAATTTCTATGTTTGACTCATAACTATTACATGAGGACTTATAGAAGGTTCTCTATACAAATCCTAAACCATAAAATTAGGAAAAAGAGTTATAAGTCAAACCTAAAAATTTGCAACTGATCATATGTGTTTTGGCGTAAGCTCTCAAGAAACCTATCAAGTCATAATAACAAGGAGTTAAGCTATATGTCATAAAGGCATGCGTCCAAATCTCATTGGTTTAGGGCTTGCCCTTATTTTATTTTTACAATGACTCGTCATTTTTATACAACTAGAACAGTTACGTAGAAAAAGGGTAATGGCTCATTTTCAAAAAAATTAGATTTAATTTCATTATTAACTTTAATGAAAATACAGAATCAACTTGAATTTCTGAAAATTTTAAAAATATATTTAAAAAAGGATGAATTGAAAGGGTGGACTGGGAAAATTACCGCCTGCCTCGTTTGGAATCCATTTTTGATGGGCTGGTCTGCTTTCTTTCATTCGTTTCTCTCTGTTTTTGTGTAATGGGCTCAGGCCCACAAACTTATCCCTGTGCACAATATCATTAGGACTTGTTTAAATTACCAGCTCATCCTCTTTTTAATATAAAAACTAAATAAATAATTTTAAAATATTAAAAAAGTTAAATTAGTTGCCTGTCATAATTGTGTATTGATCTCTTTAAATCAGCTTCTTCAATAATGTGTATATGATGATTAAAGTTATCCCTTGGTAGGAACCTTTAAAATTAATAAGGATATTTTGCAAAAAAAAAAAAAGGAGATAAAGTGAACTAAGATCTTATATTTAGATTCAAGTTCAAATCTTAACTAGCTCTTATGCTAAGCACTGTAGGTAGTAATAACACTAATATTAATATGAAAATAGTATGTCTGATTTTTAGTATAAGAGTTAGTAGGAAGTTGACTTTGGTTTTAAATATAAGATTCAGATCATAACTACTAATACTAATACTCTTCCGGTCTTAAATATAAGACCCTTATACTAGTGTGTATAAGAGTCTTATATTTAGAACCGAAAGAGTATCATATTATCATTAGGGACCACGATGATTAATATTTGAAGCTTAAAAAGATATTTTAGGAAGACTAATACAAATTTTTAACAAATAAATAATTTAACTATTTTATTTCCTAGATCTTAAATAATTATGATTGAGATTAAGATTTAAATATTGATTATCGTGGTCCCTAATGATATATGAAAAGACAGTGATCCAGCGTTAAGGTAAGCTTTCCGACTACAACGGCTACTTTTATTTGAATGTCGTTTATTGCGTGGACAATTTTGTCCCCCGCTCACCCGCTGATGCTGATGGGATTCTCGCCTTTTTGCTTGAGAATATGAAAAAGACACAACACATAAGCTTTATATTTTTCCTGATCATTATATTTTAATAACTGTGAATACTTTTTTACGTTGGAGTAATTTTTATCACGCTAACCAGTATCTATTTTTTTCGTAAAATATAACACAAGGCTTCTTGTTGAATTTTTTTAAGCATAATACAAATTTAAATTTTTTTATTTAAATACAGGTCAAATAAAAAATTATTTTATTTTCAGACAATATTAATGGCTTAACCACTCCTCCTTAATATGACAAGTAGAATTATTTCATTCTCACTAAATATTTACTAAATTGATATTGACTTGCGTGTGTGTGTATAGTTAATTACATTTTATTTGTAAATTGCATATTGAAGAATATGTGACATGATGTCTAATGAATTACATTTTCACTTTCATTACGGAGATTTTTAATTTCTAGGTAAATTTAAGACACAAACGATTCCATGTATATAATGAATAGAATGATTTTGTTGCACTTTCATAAAAAATGAATTATTAAAACATAGGAAGGCGACCGTGGGAACTATTTTTTCTTATAACAGCAATTTTTTGGGGACAAACTTAGAGCAGAAATTTTTTTTTTGTTTCAAATCCAAAGTTAACTATTTTTTTAGGGTTAATAAAAATTTTGGTCCTTCAAATTTATTTTCATTTTAGTTTTAGTCTATCAAGTTTTAAATTATAAGTTTTGGTCCATTAAATTTCTTTTCATTTGAAATATTGATCTTTATAATCCAATAAAAATTTATACTATTTTATTTCTTTAGAGATCAAAATATATAATTTTAGACTTGAGAAACTAAAAGCAAAATAAAGATAAATTTGAAGGACCAAATATTATATTAACCAATTTTCTTATGCATCAAAGTTAACATTTTCTTTTGGCAAAAAAAAAAAGTTAACATTTTCTTAAGCCCTAAATAATTCATCTTTTTTTTCAAAAAAAAAATGATAAGGAGCTATTCCTCCATTTATTTAAATTGAGTTCATACAAATATACAATATTTCGTTTTCTTGCAAAGACAAGAAGGATCAATCTGGCAAAAAGCGTGATTCTTGGGTTCTTCTGACAGGCTCCTAAAATTACATTGATTTAGGATTTAGGGGCAATTTAGTCATTTCAGTAACATGAGTACTATGCCAGCTTTCTAACGGTCATCTCTCTCACTCATCCCCCGTCACTCTTCAATCAGCTGCTGAGTTAAGAAATGCCCTTTCTTCTTCCTCTTTCCTCTACTACGTCTGAATCCAAAATCCCCTCTCTCTCTATCTCTGCACAGTTTCTTACTTCTGATTCTTGGCTGGCTCGTTTGCTTGTTGGGGAAAAAACATGAGGCAAAGCAGAAAGGCGGAAAGTGCCGAGACTGGTTTCTTCGGTAATATTTCGTCCTCTTCCATCAAAAGCTTTCTTCCCAGATCAATCTCTTCCAAACAGAAGTCTATCTCAAACCCTAAAATCCCCAAACCAAATAGCGAAAATACTCCACCATCTGATCCAAACATCCAAGTTTGCGATGACCAATCGTCGGCTGCCACAACGAAGCAAGTACAGTCCAAAGCCCCATCTTCCCAGCCCGAAGTTGTTGAAGCGGATGCTTCTCAGGACTCCCCAGTTAAGGCAAGTAGATAATATAATTTCTTTCTGCTTGGCGCTGCACAATGAATCTGTAATTTGTAATGGTTGAGGTAAGAATTTGAATTGAGATATCATCTGTTTGGCTGACGAAAATCGAGTTTTGTGACAGGTTGTAATACAAATCAGACCTGCTAATAACGAAGGAAGAGAAGGAGATGAGACCATTAAGAAGGTTTCACCTGATACATTATGTATTGCGGACAAACAATTCACATTTGATTCGGTTTTTGATTCAAAGTCCAATCAGGTAAAGAAATTTCACTTTGGAATCTTGATATGCATTTTAATGTTCAGTCGTTTGTCTTCATATAAATGGTGGGAGCGAGGTTTTTTTTGGGCCATTATATGCTTAATTGGTTTCAGCAAAGAGAGAAGGGCTTCTTCTTCATGTTATCCCTGTCTTATCTCTCCCTCTCTGGCATAATCAATTTGTTTTTCTTTGTTGCTGTAATCTGGGATTGAAGTTTTCGTAGCTTTGTGGTGTTTTTTTCTTGCATTTTTCGTTGCAGGATTGAATGGGCTTAACTCAGCTTAGCTCTCCTCTCACCCTTTATCTGTTTTCGTCTCTCTCAATGGAGTTTTAAAAGCATCAACCTCTTATTTGAAACGCTTAACTGGGGCATGTTTGACTTTTATTTTATTTCCTTTTACTTAGAATTTCCATTTTTTTAATGCGAAGAATTTACTCTTCCAATCCAGAAGGGATCAATATAATGATAAAATTGCCCGATGGGATCATTAGAAGAGACTATTACAACCTAGATTTTGTTGCTAGCAGTTCACTTTCTTTGCTTCAATAGTCTTCCATTCTTGCTTTCTGCACCTAAGGGTGGAAAATAATGATAAGCTTTGGTTTGTACAGGAAGATATTTTTCACTCAGTTGGAGTCCCATTAGTTAAAAATTCTTTAGCTGGTTACAACACTTCGCTTCTGTCATATGGACAGGTATCCACAGCTTTATATAATGTATTTGAATTTTGTAGTAAATGGTTATTAACACCTACGATGATTATCTGAGATACTTTCTTTTACTTTTTGCTAGTCTGGAACTGGAAAGACTTGTACAATGTGGGGTCCCCTAAGTGCCATGGTTGAAGAACCCTCGCGTTATAGTAAGCAGGGAATGGCTCCTCGGATCTTCAGAATGTTATTTTCTGAACTTGAGAAAGTATGATTTGAGTTTAACTGTTGGTGGTATAAATTTTCTATCATGGTTTTGGAGTTTTGACAATGAGCTTGTTTTGCCATTCGTAGGAGCGACACGAAGGGAAACAGTTCAATCATCAATGTCGTTGTTCTTTCCTTGAGGTAAATTTGTTTTCATATTCATATTTATTATTTATTTATTTATTACCTTGGGCCAATTGTGGAGGGGAGGGGGTGGGTTTTCTTGCTCAAACGACCATAAACCTCGTTAATTCATATTAGTTTGTTGTTTTTAAACAGATATGCAATGAGAAAATTGGGGATTTGCTTGATCCAGTCCAGCAAAACCTTGAGGTTAGGTTTGCGCCATCCCTTATGCTACAGTTTTTCCAATCAAGTGATTATATTGAGCCACTTGTCTTCAATTTAATGAGGGCTTGGTCCAAAATATCGCAGCTGAAGGAAGATTCCAATAATGCATTGTATATTGAGAATTTGACAGAGGAATACGTCACTAGCTACGAGGATGTGGCACGAATTCTTATAAAGGTATGGAAGCATTTGAGTAACTACTGCTGCTTTGTGGTGAAAGAATTGCAAGTTTTTTGTTCCATTGACGAGTGCAGTAATTTATCATATCTCGTCCACTAATGTAAGTTTTCTACATATTTTGCAGGGCCTTTCAAGCAGAAAAGTTGAAGCAGCAAGCTTAAATTCTGAGAGCTCCACATCACACATCATTTTCACTTTTACAATTGAGTCTTGGTGCGAGGTATCAGCACATGATTATATTCTGACAACATAGAATTGCTGCTTTTGTGTATGCTGTATCTTTTAGAAGTATACAAAAGGGGCTTGTATTGCTCATTTTACTATCATTTTCATAGCAAAATGTCATAATTGTCAACTAATGCTTCAGGGAATCTCATCAAAGGGTTTGAGGAGCTCAAAATCAAGCAGAATAACCCTTATTGATCTTGCTGGATTGAACGAAAATAAAATTGAAGATATAGGTAGACCATGTCTAAGGGCAAGCAAAAATTTGAAGAAGTCCTCATTTGACATTGGGTAAGATGCGGTGCAGAACATTTTCACGTATATAGAATTAAAATGATATTTATAATTTTATTATGTCTTGTGAATAATTACATTTAGTTGATGTATAGTACTTATGCATGTATTACACACACTTAGAATTGATTAGTAAAGGTGACTCAGGAATGTTTGTGAGCGTCTGCATAGATGACTTTGGGTTATGTTTGCTGAATGTGGATCGCTACTCTTATCTTGCCTATATGAATATGTAAATATGATGCTTAAATTTTATCGGGACTCTACACATCAATACATCATATCAGTAATTACTGTTTTAATTATCTCGTTGGTGTAGGCACCTAGCGGATGCTCTGACTGAAGAAACTCAGTCTGTCAAGTCCGCAGAAATTACTAACAGGAGTTCTTGTTTAACACGCTTACTACAAGGATCACTCGGTGGAAATGTCAAACTCTCAGTAATATGTTCCATCTCCCCTGATAACAAGTACTGTACTTAAATCAAAGAGCATATTTTTCTGTGTACAGAGGCCAAGTACCAATGACAACATGTGGGCCCCACCATTCTGAAGATAAAGATTGTTCTTGTTGATTGCAGGAGTAATGGCGAAACACTGTGTACTCTTAGATTTGGACAACGAATAAGATCCATTAGGAACAAGTCAGTTATCAGTGAATTACAAGAGGATGGAGCTAATGGTTTGAGTGATCAAATCCGGCAGCTAAAGGTATATGTCATCTCTAGGAAATTTACTATATACATTTTTTCAAGGATTAAGCTAATGTAATTCTCAAAATGTATAACCATTTTCTTTTGGGACGCAGGAAGAACTTATTAGAGAAAAGACTAATGCTCATAATTCAACTGGGAGTAAAAATGGATACTTCCAAGGATGCAATGCTCGGGAAAGCTTGAATAAGTTGAGAGTCAGCTTAAACCGCTCTTTAGTCCTACCTCACATAGATAATGATACCGATGAAGAGGTAAATGTGGATGAAGCTGACATAAAGCAATTAAGCAAGCAGATTAATGATTTGTACGGTTCATGTGAAATTGATCATCCAAGAGACATATCTGTCGATGAAGATGGTTCCCAGGTTTATTCCGTTGATGAAAGTTTTGATGCTGACATGATTGAGGGCGATGACATTGCAAGAGAGGAAGTAAATTCAGAAAAAACTGTGAGCAAGCTTCGTCATGAGGATGAAATGGCTCCATCGTGCAGTTTAAGGGCGATTAAATCTTCATCTAGAAACAGCATTTCAGTTGGCTCTCCGACCTTGGAACCCCCGTTGTCGGAGTCTCCAAAAATCAGAAATACACAAAGGAAAAGCATGGCTGTTTCGTCAAGTTATCTTGGAGGTTGGAATAACGCAGCAGGGAGTTTGAACTATAGTAAGGACAGGTTAAGGCAATCGGGCAAGGTTTTGCCGGGCCCCACTGAGTCCTTGGCAGCCAGTCTTCAGAGAGGCTTACAGATAATTGACTATCATCAGCAGAACTCTGCATTGAACAAATCTTCAACTTCCTTCTCCTTTGAGCACTTAACCTTGAAGCCCTGCTCAGAAATCGAAGAGGTTGATTCTTCTATGCAAACACAGGAGAAACCTTCAAGTGATGTAGTACCTGCTATTTTCCTCTGTGGATCTTGTGGCAAAAAAGAAAGCTTGGAAGATAGGGTTCCAAAAGTCTGCATTTCTGCATTGTGACTTTAAGTTTCCATTAATAATATTTAGTGATTATTGCTAATTGTTTATTTCTGTTCTCCTTTTTCTAGCATTTGGAAAATGAAATGGCAAGAGCCATCAAGAGAGAGCAGGAGCTTGAAATCATTTGCAAGGAACAAAGAGATAGAATTGAACAGCTAAGTCAGTTGGTAAGAATCTTGTGTCTCATGAATTGGGCATACGGTGTGAATTTTTTCCGTAATTGACAATTTGACTTCTCTAGGTCGAGAAATACAAAGGTGAAAAGGAAATAAACTCCATCATTGTGTATGATGAAGCCACCGACAGGAAGATCGAAGATGAAGAGTACAACTCGTCAAAAGATCAAGAAAAGGTCAGCTGCTTCAGTAATTTATTTACTCTATGCATTTCATCTATTTGACAATTCTTTGACTCTGATACAACTTTCATAAGATAAAGGATTAATAATACGCTTACTCTGCGTTCTTATTAGAAGTTTAAAAAAAAAAAAAAGGAATCTTAAAAAAAGTAAACTTGATGATTGAGTTGATCAATCTTTATGGTTTCTTATCAGTTTCTTGGTGTCATTTGCAGCTTCTGAGCGGCTCTATCTCAGAAAATCTTCTACGACATATTTCCGAGGGAAAATCAGAAATTAAAGAAGTCCAAAAAGATTTTCCTCGAAGAGACAACTGTTTTGACGATAGTGAGAAGGAAGAACTTCTGAAGGAAATTCAGAATCTAAGAAATAAGTTGCACTTATGTGGTGGTGGTGATGCACCAGTTAAAAAATCTACAGATAAATTAAGATCTTCATTGATATCCAGATCCATACAGCTGCAAAAAAGTGGTGGATTTTTTCAGGCTAACGGTGGGGAAGAGCCAGAGAAAGAAAGACAAAGATGGACAGAAATGGAAAGTGAATGGATTTGTCTCACTGATGAACTGAGAGTTGATCTTGAGTCAAACCGTCAGCATCTAGAGAAGGTGGTGATGGAATTGATGTTAGAGAAGAAGTGCAAGGAAGAGTTGGAAGATGCATTGAAAAGAGCGGTTGAAGGGCATTCGAGAATGATTGAACACTATGCTGAACTACAAGAAAGATATGATGACGTGTCTGCAAAGCACACTGCTATTATGGAAGGAATAGCAAAAATGAAGCAGGCGGCAGCAAAGACAGGCAAAAAGAGCCATGCTAAATTTGCCAAATCTCTTGCAGCTGAGCTTTCTACAATGAGGGTAGAGAGAGAAAGGGAGAGAGAATTTTTGAAAAAGGAGAACAGAAGCCTCAAGATTCAACTTAGAGACACTGCAGAAGCTGTGCATGCAGCTGGAGAACTACTCGTTCGACTTAGAGAAGCCGAGCATGCAGTATCCGTCACCCAGGTAAAATTCCATCCTATAGGGTTGTTAGCCATTGCTTCAGTGCGTTGAAATGGAGTCCTCCTTTGTTGAAAACTTTTGGCTCAAAACCTTCGGGAATTATGAATAAAAGATGGAAGGATAATGAAAGATTTTCAGCTAAACTTCAAAAATCCCTTTCATTATTATTTAAAAGTAATTCTAATTTGGGGAAGACAATTATTGAAATCACGGAAAGGAGAGCTGTCATTCAATCATCTCCTTCCGTTTTCTTCTCTCAGTTTTCGTTCGTAGAGCTTTAATTATACCTTTGTTGATGTGTGCTAGAAGATTCGAAATCCACGTCGTCAAAACATTCTGATTTATCTCATATGAATCTCATATATCTCTGTTTTATACAGGAGAATTTTGCAAATGTACAAGAAGAGAACGAGAAGTTGAAAAAGAAAATAGAGAAGCTCCAAAAGAAACAGAAGATGGAGATGACAACCATGAAGCATTACCTAGCAGAGAGCAAATTACCAGAGGCTGCACTGAAACCACTGTATAGAGAGGACTCATATGATGTTGCACGTAACAATGCATATGATGATGATGATCAAGCATGGAGAGCAGAATTTGGAGCAATCTATCAAGAGCATTACTAGTTATCATCTATTGCCTGTGAATTACTAACTGGTTGATGTGATACCTGTTAATCTGGTTCTGGCTTCTGATCCTCCTTGGATCAAAAGCATCCCTTACAGTAGCCATTTGTGTATTCTCATTGATTCATTGTTTTCCTTTTTGGTTTTCTAATAACTTGGTACATTCTTCGTATTGTCTTATACTTCGTATTAATTATACATTGTTCTGTTTGATACACTGGAGGAGCAGAGCAATTGAAGGCAAAAAAGGCATAATATTTTAGAGTTGATTGTCTCCCCCGTATTTTTTTTTTCATCTCCTTTGAAAAATTTTCACACATTGTGTCAATGTGCACAATGTAACTTGTTAGAGTTTTTATTTTTTATGTTTTATATTGACATTTCAGTATTTTTGTTACAAGCAACTAAATTTCATTTTTTAAAATTTATCATACTCGCCCCTTAATCTTATTTTAATTTTTAAATGTGACGATCAATTTTTTTTGGCCAAATGTGATAATCAATTTGAAAGGGGAATTTAAAAAAAAACAATAATTTTATTCACAAGTGCATAACAACACACAAGTGAGCTCCACAGGTGGTTTGGCCAAAAAAAAAAAAAAAGGCGCTCTAGACCCTAGAGGTGGTAAGTTGATGGTGATAACGAGATAATTATGTTGATGAGAACAAATAATCTATTACGCCAATCATTTCAAGTCAAATAATTTAGGATTAATATGCATCTAACACCCAAGATATTTTTTATTTTTTTAGATGCATCCGGTATCCGAAATATTTTGTGATACATCTAACACCCTAAAATATTTTTTAGGTACATTCATCATTTTAAAGTATTATTGTTTTCTTAAGAATATTTTAAAGTGCTGGTCGTATCTAAAAAATACTTCATGGTACTGAACGCATTTTAAAAATTACTTTATGATGTTGAATGCTCCACAAAATATTTTAAGGAGTTGGACACACCCGAAACATTTTTTCAAGTGCTGGTTGCACGTTCACAATTGAATTTGTTATGATATATACACACACATATATTTGATCGATCTTAAGAAAACAATATTCTTAACTCTTAAGAAACAAATATGATTGTTTGTTTAATGAACTAATCATTGCCGTCTGGTTAGCAAATTCGAGACGTTGTCGTTTTAATCTTTTGCATTAGACAAGATGTGAAAGCACTGCATTATCGGAGGTTCATGACCACTTTTCTCACCTCAAAAGATGCTTTTTTTTCCCCCTTCAAGTTGATTACCGAACATTACTTTTAATTTTGAAACTTGTTAAGCAACTTCGAAAAACATCTTTTGATAAATCCCTTCAAATGAACAAAGATAACAAAACAAACAATAAAAATGCAATCAGAATAAACATGAATTAATCAGGCGGAAAACCAGTTTTTTTTAAGTGCTATGCGGTTTGTTTAATTACAAATTATGCTGATAAACTTTTTCTGGATGGCTTGAATCCGGATTATTCAATAATATAAATGCCAGAGTTCAACTTATGCAGTCTACTTAATGCAATTTGAATAAGTCAAGCCTAATGTGACTTTCGACCAGATTTTTCTTAACAAAAAAAAAAAGAATTCTCTAAAATTTAGAGATAGTGACAGGTATACAATTCTATGTTTCCGTTAGAAGCTAAAAAAAAAAAAATCAATGTAAGATCATGATCTAATTTGTTATTACTTATATAGGATATTGTCCCAAAAAGGAACAAACAGAAAGCTAAATAACACAAAAGTCTCAACTGCCAACGCATAAACTCTTGCAAACTCTCAGTTTTGAAACGTACTTGTTTGAACCATTCAACTTTTGTCCATATTCCGATAATATGCATATTATTTGCACTAAACAGTAAGCTAAATAACATAAAAGTCTATGCTGACTGAGCATAGGCTCTAAAATATTTCAATTTTGAAACAAACCCACTTATTTGGACCAATCAACTTTTGTCCATATTCCAATTTCCAATCATATGCGTATTAACTGCACTAAGCAGTTGAAAAGGCCAAACAGGAGAGGAAGAGAATGACAAATTACAGATTCAGCAATCAGAAGAAGCCAAACAATGAATATAAAAAGCTGTAAAACTTGTATGAGAATCCGTCTAAACAAGAATTATAAAACTGTTTACAAGCTTAATTATTTGATGGGGATCTCACACTGCAAATCCCTCTCATGTTTCACACTTGATGAATCAACCTGAACTTCACTTACAATTTGATGAAAAAAGCATATATCAGAAGCACGTGGTAACAAGAACAACACCATTGGCAGCCATTACAGTGGTAAAAGAAAAGGAAAAAGAAAGTTTAACAACAATTGCTCTATCACTAAACATACTAATGCTGATATGCCTCGCTGGAGATGCATTACTACACTATTGGAAGCAATCTTCAAGAGTATATCCCGCAATCTGATTTTACACCTCAATCAAATTCCCAGGAAGGAAGCCTAAGTCTTGAAAAAATGACAAGAGAACCTCAAAAAAATTCCCAAACCTTACATAAAATCCCTTTTAAACTGCTTTCTCTTTGAACATGTATACTTCAAATGAAAGAACACCGTTAGCTATATATGTGATGATATCCATATAAGCTGATATATCTTGAGCGACTGAGATGTAAGAATTCACAAAACCTCTTTTTCCTGACCAGTTTCCCTTGATCTACTGTTTCCATGATGAATCGAATTAACATATCTCCTCTAGGCAGCAATTCCTGGATAAAGTAGGAAGACAAGAAAAGAAAATGAATAAATCTCATAAGATTCATTCAGAAGAACATCTCGAAACATTTGACTTATTTTAGGATTGCAAATCCCAAAATGGCTACCATTTCATAGTGGTATGATATGCAAAGTTATGCAAATGGCCACTCTTCATTTGATGGCCACATAAATGAATTGAATGATCAAATTTGATATCAAAATATCGATGCTTCGTTCACACAAAATCAGTTATACACTTCTGACATGAGATTAGTTGGTCTCATTTAAGTTCATCTTAAACATCTTTCAGCCTAATTCTTAATGTGAATTTGTTTTTATTTTTTATCAAGAAATCTCCAATTTCATCATACTTTAAAATGAAGACAATCAGCAACACTAGACAAATGGACAGAAACATGAAGGCTATCCTTCTATTTAAATTGTAGTAAACTCTTAAAAGAACCTATACGATAATCTGTTTCAAACAATCAATGAAAATAAGTGCATTGTTATTGAGTTCTTGTGGTTTGTCAGCATTTTGTCATCACTGAAATCCATGGGGGAAATATAGACGTGGAACATAGAGTAGTGTATAACTAGATATCTTTTCCCTCACAGGAGAGATACTCATCTTGCTATTAGTTAGACCTTCTTGAAAGACGTGAAGAAAGTATTGCAGAAATAAAATAAAGATGCAGAGTCCATTAGAATGAAGCTCAAGAGAAGTCGCACTATTCATAACTTGTAAATATTGCGGCTAACTATAGATATTATATTGGATATTGATTGAAATAAAAAATTAGCGAAAGTTGCTCGTGTCAATTTATTCACCGATCCAAATTTAAATAGCCATATTTTCCGTTTACCTTTTAAACAACTCATTTTCTGATATACAGTGACTTAATTTCACATATATATACACTGACAAAAATTATAACAATAAACTATAATCTGCATTTCTTTATAAGGTCACTTGATGTAGCCAAAAGTCTTACCTCTGTTAGGTTGTCTGCTTGAAACACTGTAGTTTCCAATATAACCCTCTGAAGTCTTTGCTGGATCCTCAGAGGCTATGCCACCAAGTCCATAATCAAATGAACCAGAACCATCAAGGTCAGAAACAGCAGACCGCCAAGTTGAGTCATTGTAAACTGAACCGTTATGGTATAAATCTCCATAGGATCCTTCATAACCACCGGCTGAAGCAGAAAATGTAGAAGATGAATTTACACCTACACTCCCATTTCTTCCATAACCAGTACCACCTACCCCAAAACTGTTGTCTCCACCTTCATAAACATTAATCCCAGAGGTATATCCCGAAGCAGGCACTCCACCCTGCACTGGAAAGGATTGACCCCAATTTGTTCCACTATTTTTAATTGGAACGCCAAAACCACCACTTCCAGATCCCAAGCTAGCACCAGCATTGACTTGGTTATTGGCATTACTTAGGCCACCATTTCCCCAGACATTTCGAGAAGGTGAATTCATTAGAGAATCGCTTCTCCCACTACCAGCATTATAGCCTATAGGAGTGGTATATCTGCTTGAGTTGCCACTGTAAAAAGGACTAATCACCCGTCCATATCCGAGATTGCTTCCATAATTTGAGGTCCCACCATATCCTGCACTCAGCCCTGCATCTAGATTCAGTCCCATCCCGTAACTGCTGCTGCCAAAGGGAGAAATTCCACTCCTACTATTTGTCAGAGGACTGAACCTACCATCCATCCTCATCCCATAGCCTCCAACTGGACTCATGTTATAGCTCTGTGCGTAACTGTTTAGGTAGCTACTGGACCTATTGAAGCCAAAATTAGTTCCTAACAATGGGCTTCGGATGGATCCAGGGGAAAGCTCTTTCGGAACAGCCCTCTTGACCTCAACCATTTTTCCATTGAGTTCATGGAATGTTTTATGAAGAACTCTGTCCACAGCATCTTCTGAATCATAAGTGATGAAGCCAAAGCCTCTTGGCCTCTGAGTATTGTGATCATACATTACTACAACATCATTGATTGTACCAAACTGATCAAAATACTTCTTAAATTCACTTTCAGTGATGCTCGAAGGCAGACCCCCAACAAAAATCTTTTTTGTGCGCCCGGGACCAGGAGAGCCATGGACACTACCAGAAGTTCTATTTATCATCTGCTGATCATCCCTGGGAACAGCTTTCTTTGCTTCAACCTGAAAATAAGAAGTTAGCATATAGATCAATAGTTGCAGGTCACGTTCATTTTCATTTTATGAACAAAAGTCAATTCTCATCCAATGTACATAATAATATTTCAAAGAAGCGATCAAAGTGCAAGTCTTTAGCTCGGTAAAGCCAGAAATATGTACAGTTTTTATCATCAACAGATTAAAACTTAAGTACAAAGATTATGTTGTCATTTGCAAGAAAAACTCTCGTGAATACTATCACAGCACACGCACGCACACGCGCACACATATCCACAATGAACTGACTCACTGTGCGGCCATCAATTATGTGCTTTTCCATAATGACTCTTTCTGCAATAGCAGGATCAGCAAACACTACAAAACCAAAACCACGAGCACGACCTGTCGTACGATCTCTCATGATCACGGCCTCTATCACCTCTCCGTATTTCCCAAAATATTCTTTAAGTCGTTCTTCATCAGTGTCCCAAGAAATTCCTCCAATGAAAAGCTTGCCAAGATCTGATTCCATCTGTTCTCCTGCCAAGCATGATCATTTAATTATAGTGATTTCTATATGTTTGTACAAATTCAAACGAGCAAGGACTTCGGGTCAAAATTCTCATGGTTCACCTAGAAGTAAACAATATGTAATAAGGATGTCTAAATAACTCAATGATGGCCAAAAAAATCCAGACACGAAGACAATTTAATTAAATAGTTTTACAGATGATAGATAATTAAGTCGAGTCTAGCCAAAACAATTCAATATTCACCTGCTTGAGCAACACAAAGCGATCAAAAATGCAGATGAAGAAAACCTGAGAAGATACACCTTAACTTTAAATTCAGACAGAACCCAGTAGGAGCTTCGATCAGAAACGAAGTGGGTTTTGTCAGAGTCGATCTGAGAGCTTCGGATCTTTCGTGCATCAATCAAAAGAAGAACCAGATTATCTGGAATCAGATTAAAAAAATGAATTTTTATGGATCAAATACGAAACTCAAAAAGGTTAAGAGATCGATGACAAAAGAAGCAAGCCCAGATATTAATTTACCATTTCAGGATGAGAAAAATCTGTGAAAAATTTTTAAATGTGAGGGAAACTGAGAAGAAAAACAGAGGATGTGCTCATCCTCTATCGAAAGCCTGTCCCTTGCTTTTTATCGCTTCGTTGGTGATACCACCACCCCTTAATTAAATCAAAAGAAAAATAAAAAACAGACAGAGAAATGGGAGCTAACATGAGAAGGAGACAACATATAAATAGAGAGAGACTGCAAATCCTCTGGTGCAAGAATATTTGGAGGACTAAAGAGGCACAGCGGATGACGATATTTTTTATACATAAAAAGGGTATCATTTATTAATGTTCAAAATTAAATAAATTTTTAGTGAGAAAAAACAAGGACAAAATTTATCTGAAAAATACTTATAATTTGTATATTAGTAACTCTGAAACATATTTAAATAATTTTTAAAAATTGACTTTATTTGAAGAACAAAGACTGTTTATTTATCTTAAAATGAAGAGTTACGATGAATTCATGTGTGTGTTAAGTATTTTCAAATATTTTATGACTCATTTATTATCATAAAATGTTTTTTTAGATATATCTATTGTTTTAAACTATATTGTGATTCATCTAGCAACATGAACTATTTTTCTACGTCCAGCAACTTAAAAAATAATAGTTTAAAAGTAAAATTGTACTATAAATTATTTGAGGGTGCATGAAAAAATACTTTAAAATAAATTTAAAAAATTAACAGGTTGCATGCTAAGAAAAATACTTCAAGCTGTTGTTGGATGAAATTGTGTCTATACTTTTTTATCCAACCTAGTGGTCTGTCATCCCTTAAAAAATTTATACATTAATGTAGTTTACTAATTACCTCTAAACATAAGGTTTTTTTTTTTTTGTTTTTTTTGGCTGAACTTCTAAACATACGTTTAAAAGAGAAAGACAGTTAAGTCTTAAAAGAGCAAATTAATAGTAGTTAGGTTCTAGACAATTTCTTATTAAAAAAGAGTTGCAAATATCAGTTTAAAGAATTGCAAATTTAACTCTCAATTATTTAATGTATTTAAATTTTAAATGTAAATTTTAACTTGCATGTGAAATTCTTATTTATAATTCTTTTCTTTCCTAATGTTTTTGTCATTCTTTATACTCCTCGCTCCTTAATATAAAAACTATTTAACTAATTTAATTAGATTAAGGAAGTTAGGTAAGTTTGTTAACTATAATAAATATGACATGTTTTTTCTAAAATATCTTAATCATTTTCATTATATCCTCTTCTCTCCCATACTTGATTATAGTTGATGAAGTATCAGTAAGGGTTATTTGGAAAAAAAATTGATAGATATAAGAAATAGATTTTATATTTAAAATCAAAATCAACTTTATAATTAAAAATTGGAAGAGTATAATGGAATCATGCATCTCTCTTACTAGATGGAACCAAGCCAAAGTAGAAAGATTTCAGTCTCAGGAAACAATTGACTCCCACGAAGATAAAAATATGGCGGATCGTGATATTAGGTTTTCAATTAGGTTTTTAATTTTAATTCTGTTATTAAAGCTTATAGAATTTCTCTTCGTGTTTCAGATTACAACCGTCCTATTGATCATGCTTCATATAAAACTTATTTAATTAATTTAATTAGATTAAAAAATTTAGATAAATTAGTTAATTATAAAAAATATGACATGTTTTTCCTAAAACACCACAGTCATTTTTCTTAATATCTTCTCTTCTTATTCTACTTGATTATGGTTAAAGGAATATTAATAGAGATAATTTAGAAAAAATTGATAAATATGTCTTATATTTAAAATCAAGATCAATTCAATAATTAGATTTTATATCAAGGACGGGATGAATATTAACTATTAATTTTTACCTTTTTTTTTCGAATTTAAGGCATTTTGCCATTTTATCAAAAAGAAAAATAGAACATAAAACTTCATACGTAAGTAGTAAAATTTATAAAGTGTTGGTTTAACCAAATGACTCTCCTAATTTTCATCCCATTAAATCTTAATGCTTTAATGCGACGTTAAAGAGTAATTTTAAAAACAAAGAATAAATATCAAAATACTGTGAAATAGGAATAAATAAACTAATGAAATTGTAAATGTCTTTTGTTCAAGTAAATTCTTATGTCAATCATTTCAAGTTAAACCATTCAAATGCATGCTGTGATATACTACCTCCAGTCTTAATATAAGACCCTGTTTGACTTTTATTTTGGTCCTAAATATAAGGCCCCAATTCATTTTGTTTCTCATATTTATACACTTTTTTTTCAAAGTAGCCCTTCTAACAATAATAGTTCTAATCAATACACTTGATTAGCAAGGATATTTTAGGAAAGACAACACCTATCTAAGACAAATAACTAACTCAACCTACTTCCTTAATCTCCTCAAATTAGTCAACTGGCTCTTATAATTAGGACCGGAGGTAGTATATTTTATCGGTTTAAAGCCTGTGATATTCTTCGAAAGCAAATGTACAGAACTTAAAAGAAATTAGTAATTTGTCACAAAAAAAGAAATTAGTAATTTGTCACAAAAAAAGAAATTAGTAATTACTACTACTATCTCATATTCTCAATATAACATTAGATAAAAATGCAGAGAAACGTGATAAAAGGTTTATTTTAATTTTAAATATAAAATTTTAAATTTTTTTAGTTTATAATTTTTTAAAAATATTCATAATTAATTAACTAAAATATTAAAATTGGTAAATCATAATTAGATAACTTTAATTATTTTATTTTTTTTAAAGGTGGAACGGGAAAAATCTTCGGGAGTAGTATATAATGCGCTCAGTCCTCGATCTCAAAAGTGACGGTGCCTCCAGCTTCCGCCTCGCCATTTTCGATTCGGTACCGGAGAGGGGGGCAACGATGGCGCCGGCGGACTCTTCGAGGACCGGTTCCGACGAAGAGGTTACGACTAAAGCAAGCGTTATTCATACAGCTCAAGTTCCTGCACTCCCTGCTTCTCCTTCTATCTGCCTTCTACGGTTCGCTGGCGACTCTGCCTCCGGTGCCTTGATGGGCTCCGTCTTTGGCTATGGTTATCTCTCTCTCTCTCTCCCCCCCCCTCCTTGCGACTTACCGTCTTACTCCTACATACATTACTTAAATAGCTTGATTTTGAGGATTCTGCTTTAATTGGGTAGTGTTAGATGTTTTCATGATTAGATGAACCTAAGAGAGAACATTGTGCATTGAACAGCGTATGAACTATAAATTTTGTCGTCAAAGGTAGCCTTTTCGGTTGTGGAAATTGTCTTTACCTTATTGTCGTGTCACGATGTGAATGAACTTGAAGTAATGTCTCAATAAGTGAGCAATCTTTTTTTGGATTAGTGAAAGACTTTCTGCGAGGAATGATATATAGTTTAGGCTGAACATCTTGTAATCCTTTTGTAAAATATACTTGGGAACAAAAAAAATACATTCAATTTTCAGGGGCAAGCTCTTTTGACTTGTTATGGTAATTCCATTTTCGCCCAGTGATTTGATAGTCAAGGCTGGATACACTCGCTTAGTAAAGGGCTTACTCAGTGTTAGCAGTTCTGCAATTTTTATGCAGATGGACGTTGGCACATAATTTGTTAGGCGTGTGATGATTTTCGACAAGTATTTTAGTTTTAAATATACACAATCAATTCCTGACTGGTGACTTGAGAATTCAATAATCTCTGAGATGATGAATATAGGACCATTTTGAAGAAATCTCACTTTTGAGTATAGCAATACATTCAGTTCCTACGATCTTGCTCAAGGATGTCTTTGTTGGTAATGTCTCAGGTGCTGGATTGTTCAAGAAGAAAGGATTTAAAGGATCCTTTGTAGAAGCAGGATCTTATGCCAAGGTTCATTGGAGACCTTAGTCCTTTTCCCTTTTTTTTGTTTTTTGGCCTTCCTTCCTGCTGTTAGCTTTGTCTAGTCAGTTCACATTTGGATACACACACACACACACAAACGTAATATTTTAAATAGCTCATAATCTTTTGTCTCTATGTATTAGTCATTTGCAGTTTTTTCCGGAGTTCACAGTTTTGTTATCTGCATCTTGAAAAGACTCGGAGGAAAGGATGATGGTATAAACTTGTTTACCATAGAATTGTTAGTTTGTTACTTGTGTTTATAATAATATTTTTGTGATATTTGAATAATTTTTCATCACCAGTCATTAATGCTGGGGTAGCTGGATGTTGTACTGGTCTTGCTCTAAGTTTTCCAGGTATCAAGTTTTTCTTTGTCTTTTTTCTGAATGATGCTTTAAATAGCCCTCCTCATCCTCATGTGCACACATGCAATTAACTCTTCATCTGTGTCTCTGTGTGTGTGTGTGTGTTAGTTAATTTACACCTTATTGGCAAAGTGTTGAGGCAATCTCCCAATTTTTTGGTCTCTGATGGGAAGTGGGGATACCCCATCGGTTGACCCAAAATAGAAAAACTTCGTCGACTCTGACCAGCTTTTAATCGCTGATTGCCCTGAAAATCGATATAACGCACAGTTATATACAGATGAAAGTTGCATTTTTCCCAGTTATTTTACGATCATGATTTTTTCTCTGGGATCCCAGGTGCACCGCAAGAACTTCTGCAAAGCTGCCTCACTTTTGGAGCATTTTCTTTCATTGTTGAAGCGCTAAACAAGCGACAACCAGCCCTTGCGCATCCCATCTCCAGTAAAACAAGTGTGCACTACCCTATACGTTGTCCTTCTCCCTTGGCACTTCCCCTCCAACTTCCCCTTCCTGATGAAATGAAAGGAGCATTTTCCTCTTTCTTCGAGTCTCTGAAACAGCATAGTAAGAGCACTTCTCCACGTCTCAGTGATAAATCGAGGTTTTAGGATTTTCTTCGGCGTCATGTAAATAAGACATGACCTCTTTTCTGTCCTTTTCTTCTCTACTTCTCCTCTCTCTCTCTTCTCTTTTTTTTTTTTTTTTTTAACGGTGTTCACTTCCTATAAACCATGTCAATGATTCTGTAAGAACTTAGGTGGGTTTACTTTCTGTTGAAGCTGGAATTACCTCTGATTAGATTGGTTTCATTGAATACTTTCTAGATGATTGAACAGTGGGTTGAACGTGACAATGATGCGATGGAAAATTGTGATATTTTGTCATGGTCAGTTGTAGTAAAAATGAGTGTAAAGTGTGGGGGCTATGTTTTGAAATTTGTGGTGGTTGAGCATGACCAATATACCTCGCAACGCAAGGATTTAAGTTTTCCAAATATCTCCATTTGTAAACGAAAATTTTCTGTACTTTTCAAGAAAAATAATAGAAAATGTGTTTATTGAATGATGATATTTTAGATAAAATGTATGTTTGTATATCTTGATTTTGCCACATTATTATTAACCTAGCGGTGTTAATAACACCTGTACCCTAATAGGGTTAATTTTATGGACAGACTTAACTTGAGGACTAACTTCGGCAATGGTAAAAATGATAACTGTTTTGTTGCCATGTATGAAAGAAGTTTGATTTTCTTTAATATCTTGATAGCTTTTGAAAACGAAAAGAGGCTGAGAATAAATAGAGGATCTATTTATATGATAGTTGATAAGAGGGGGAAAAAAAGGATGGACATGTTGGTAATTTGACCGCATATCAACAGAGTTTGTAGTTTCTGCTTTCCTTCCATAAACAGCGTCGAAAATGCTGATTCCAAAAGAAAGAAATTTTGAACATACGATTAAAAGCTAAAAAAAAATAGTCGACCATGGTTGAACTATTTTATGAATGTAATAATGTGGGTGGTTTTCTCACCCAAAAAGCTGCCTTTTTCTTTGAGTTGATTACCAAACGTTACTTTTGATTTTAAAACTTGTTAAGAAAGCGTCTTTTGATAAATCCCTTTAAATCAACAAAAATAGTAAAACAAACTGTAAAGAAGCCCTGAGAATGGAAATATTTTAATTTAGGAAATGTTTAGCAACTTTAAAAGTACTTATTACTTTTCCGTAAAATGAGACAAATTTTTTTATATATTTATTTTGTAAACCACAAAAACACTTTTGAAATTATGATTTGGTTTCCATCCAAATATTTTTTTAGTCAAGCAGAAACTATAGAGCAATATTTATTTTCATAGAGACTTCAAATGGGACCACTTACATGAAGGCTTTTTGTGAATTCATGTATAAATACCACATCTTCAGTTATGCAGTGTGCTCAATTATTAGTTATGTTGAGAAAGCTGCTTCTTAATTGGAGCAAAATCACACTTACTTTTACAGTATGACCTAATCATATTATGAATGATAAGTAAAATCATAATACTCCCTCTAATTCTAAATATAAGACTTATTTTATAGCATAAAAAACATTACAAAATAAGCTGAAGAGTACTTTTTATATTTGAATTACTTTTACATTACAAAATGGGTGTTATGTTTAGTACTAGATGAGTACTTTTTATGTTTGAATCATTTTCTTTTGTTGCATTGCTACACTTTCGATTCTTTCATTGCATTCTTACGTCTCAAGTATATAATATTAATTGAATTAGACCCCGTGCAAAATTGAAGGTTAAGCAAATCCTAGTTCACCTACATGCAACCACACAGAAATGAGGAGTAAGATCAAAATATAGTTGGTCATTAGAAGGATGGTTTCCCATAAAAGTCTCTACAGCCAGAGCACAGGCTCTCTAAAACATTTCAATTTTGAAACACACCCACTTATTTGAACCAATCAACTTTTGTCCATATTCCAATAATATGCTGTACGCATATTAGCTGCACTAAAGATTCAACAGTGAGCTCAATAACATAAAAGTCTGTGCTGACTAAGCATAGGCTCTAAAATATTTCAATTTTGGAACATACCCACTTATTTGAATCAATCAACTTTTGTCCATATTCCAATTACATGCGTATTATCTGCACTAAGCAATTAAAAAGGCCAGACAGGAGAGGAAGATACTGACTAATTACAGATTCATCAATCAGAAGCAGACAGACAATGACTAAAGAAACTGTGAAGCTTGTATGACAATCTGTCTAAACAAGAATTATAAGAACTGTTTACAAACTTAATTATTTGAGGGGGACTTACACTGCAAATCCCTCATGTTTCACACTTGATAAATCAAACTGAACCTCACTTACAATTTGATGAAAAAAAACATATCTCAGAAGAACGTGGTGAAAAGAACACCTTTGCCAACCATAACAGTTGGCAAAAAGAAGAAAGTTTAACAATATTACTCTATCACTAAACATACTAATGCTGATATGCCTCGCAGGAGATGCGCTACTACACTATTCGAACCAATCGCCATGAGTATGTCCCGCAATCTGATTTTACACCTCAATCAAATTCCAAGAAAGGAAACCTAAGTCTTGAAAAATCAATAAGAGAACCGAAAAAATCCCAAACATTACATAAAATCCCTTGTAAACTGCTTTCTCTTTGAACATGTATACTTCGAATGAAAGAACACCGTTAGCTATATTTATGATGATATCCATATAAGCTGAAAATGTAAGAATTCACAAAACCTCTTTTTTCCTGATCAGTATCACTTGATCTACTGTTTCCATGATAAACTGAATTAATATATCTTCTCTAGGCAGCAATTCCTGGAGGAAGTAGGAAGACATGAAGAGAAAATGAATACAACTCATAAGACTAATTCGAAAGAACGTCTCAAAACATTTGACACGTATTAGGAAAGCAATGCCAAAATTTCAACCATTTCATAATGATGTGATAGATAAAGCTATGCAAATAGTCTTTCTTCACTGGATGACCACATAAATGACTTGAATGATCAAATTTGATATTAACTCAATGCTTCATTCACACAAAATCAGTTATAGGCTTCTGACATGAGAGTAGATGATCTTTAAGTTCATCTTAAACATCTTTCAGGTGAACTCTTAATGTGGATTTCTTATGGATTTTTTTTTTTTTTTTTTTTGCAGGAAGCATCCAATGTCATCATACTTTAAGATGAAGACAATCAGCAACACTAGGCATGTGTAGAGGAAGATGCTAGCTGTATTTCTATTAAAACTAGCACCACCTTCCTTCTCCGCACAATGTGCAGTAAACTCTTTAAAAACCTATGTAATAATCCACCTCAAACAATCAAAGAAAATAAGCGCATTATTTAAAAATTCTTGCCGTTTGTGGGATTGACATCCATGGGGGAAATAAAGATGAGAAGCCTAGAGTAATGGGTATACCTAGACATATTTTCCTTCATAAGATGCATGGGAGTGATGCTTATCTTTCTACTAAAGACACCTTCTTGAAATATGTGAAAACATATTAAACAAACAAAAAATAAAGCTGCATGGAGTCCCACAAAATGTGTGGAGAGATAGTGGAAGAATAAAATAGTTACAATGAACTTGAGGGGAGTTGTCACTGCTCGTAGCATGTAAATAGTGCAGCTTATCCTAGATTTTATGCTTTATATTGATATTGACGAAGGACAAACATTAGTGAAGCTGCTCTTGCGTCCTTAACAATCTATTAAAATCAGTGATCCAAATTTGAAAGACTATTGTAACTGCCAATCAGTAAATAAACATTCTCTTTGTAACTTCTTTTCAAACAATTCATTTTCTGATATACAAACACTTAGTATGTGTTTGGGGTGGCGTGTCGCTTCCAAATCATGTCCTTAATGTCACATCTAGATACAAAAAAAATTATATCAATAAACTATAACCAAGATTTCTCTGAGACAGGATCACTTGATGTAGCCAAAAGTCTTACCTCTATTAGGTTGCCTGCTCGAAACATTGTAGCTTCCAATATAACCCTCTGAAGTCTTTACTGGGTCCTCTGAGGCTATACCAACAAGTCCATAACCAAAAGAACCAGAACTATCTGGATCAGAAGCAGAAGACCGCCAAGCTGAGTCACTATAAACTGAACTATTGTGGTATAAATCCCCATAGGATCCCTCATAACCACCAGCTGATGAAGAAAACGTAGAAGATGAATTTACACCTATACTACTATTTCTTCCATACCCTGTTCCTCCTAACCCAAAACTGTTGTCTCCACCTTCATAAACATTAATCCCAGTGGTATACCCAGAAGCAGCCACTCCACCCTGCGTTGGAAATGATTGACCCCAATTTGCACCATTATTTTTAATTGAAATGCCAAAACCACCACTTCCAGATCCCAAGCTAGCACCAGCACTGACTTGGTTATTGGCATTACTTAAGCCACCATTTCCCCAGACATTTCGAGAAGGTGAATTCATTAGAGAATCGCTTCTCCCACCACCAGCATTATAGCCTATAGGAGTGGTATATCTGCTTGAGCTGCCACTGTAAAAAGGACTAATCACACGACCATATCCGAGATTGCTTCCATAATTCGAAGTCCCACCATATCCTGCAGTCAGCCCTGCATCTAGGTTCAGTCCCATTCCATAACTGCTGGTGCCAAAGGGCGTAATTCCACTCCTACCACTTGTAAGAGGATTAAACCTACTATCCATCCTCATCCCATAGCCTCCAACTGGACTCATGTTATAACTCTGTGCGTAACTATTTAGGTAACCACTGGCCCTATTAAAACCAAAATTAGTTCCTAACAATGGGCTACGGCTGGATCCAGGGGAAAGCTCTTTAGGAACTGCCCTCTTGACCTCAACCATTTTTCCATTGAGTTCATGGAATGTTTTATAAAGAACTCTGTCCACAGCATCTTCTGAATCGTAAGTGATGAAGCCAAAGCCTCTTGGCCTCTGGGTATTGTGATCATACATTACTACAACATCAGTGATTGTACCAAACTGATCAAAATACTTCTTAAATTCACTTTCAGTGATGCTCGAAGGCAGACCCCCAACAAAAATCTTTTTTGTGCGCCCAGGACCAGGAGAGCCATGGACACTACCAGAAGTTCTATTTATCATCTGCTGATCATCCCTGGGAACAGCTTTCTTTGCTTCAACCTGAAAATTGAGAAGCCAGCGTATAGATCAATACTTGCATGTCACGTCATTTTCTTTTTATAAACAGAAGTCAATTCTCATCCAATGTAGATAATACATAATGCAAATAAGCCATCAAAGTGCAAGACTTTAGCTCAGTAAAGCGAGAAATAAATAAAATTTCTATCATCAACAGATTAAACCTAAATAAAGTACCAACATTATGTTGTTATTTGTAACAAAATTTCTAGTGAATACTATCGCTGCACACACACACACACACATCTGCAATGAACTCACTGTGCGGCCATCAATTATGTGCTTATCCATAATGACTCTTTCTGCAACAGCAGGATCAGCAAACACTACAAAACCAAATCCACGAGCACGACCTGTCGTGCGATCTCTCATGATCACGGCCTCTATCACCTCTCCGTATTTCCCAAAATATTCTTTAGTCGTTCTTCATCAGTGTCCCAAGAAATTCCTCCAATGAAAAGCTTGCCAAGATCTGATTCCATCTGTTCTCCTGCCAAGTATGATCATTTAACTATCAATAACTGATTTCCATGCTATGTTTGTACAAATTCAAACGAGCAAGGACTTTGGATCAAAATTCTCATGGTTCACCAAGAAGTAACCAAAATTCCGACAGGGATGTCTAAAAAATCCAATGATGGCCCAACAATCCAGGTCGGAAACAATTTAATTAAAGATTTTAACAGATGGTAGATAATTAAGCTAAGTCTAGGGGAAAAAACAATATTAACCTGCTTGAGCAACGCAAAGTGATCAAAAATGCAGATGAAGACAATCGGAGAAGGTACACCTCAACTTTAAATTCAGACAGAACCCAGTTAGAGCTTCGATCAGAAACGAAGTGGGTTTTGTCAAAGTCGATCTAAGAGCATCGGATCTTTCGTGCATCAATCAGAAGAAGAACCGGATTGTCTGGAATCAGACAAAGGGAGAGGAAAAAAACAAAGCAAATGAATTATCATGGATCAAAGAAGAAACTTAAAAGGGCAAAGAGATCGATGACAAATGAAGCAAGCCCAGATATTAATTTACCATTTAAGGATGAAAAAAATTCTGGGAAAAAAATCAATGTGAAGGAAAACTGAGAAGAAAAACAGAGGATGTGCTCATCCTCTACCAAAAGCCTGTCCGTTGATTTTTATCTCTTCGTAGCTGATACCAGTGCTCCTCAATTAAATCAAAAGAAAAATAAGAAACAGAGAGAAATGGCAGCGAACATGAGAAGGAGAAGATATATAAATAGAGAGAGACTGCAAATCGTCTGGTGCAAGAATATTTGGAGGAGGAAGAGATGACAGCAGATGGTGATATTTTTTTTCCAAAGAACATTTCATTTATTAATGTTCAAAATAATATTAGAGTTTTAATTATGAAAAAACAAGGACAATTGCTTTCAGAAAAATACATAATATTGTATAACTCTATAATATAAAGTGCTTAAATATTTTTTTAAATTTGACTTTAAAAGAAATCATTGAATAATCTGTGCATTAATATTTTGGGTAAGAGAATACCGTTTCAACAAGTATATTTTGATGTTACAATCAGACTTTAATTACACCTAACATTTTTCTTAAATTTTTTTAAAATGTGAATCTATAAATTTGAATTTCTCATGTGTAATTGTTGTTTGAGTTATGACAAAAAAAATTATTTTTAACGTCAAATGTTTTTGTTACATTTTTAATGTTAAATGTTACCAAAAATTTTCAAGTACCGATATTTTTAATTTAATTTTAAAAGTAACAATCACAAAAAAAAAATATCTCAAACTAATGATGATAGGATTTAAAAAATTAAAAATATACTTTATAAATTTAAGGAGCTAAGCTAAAATTTATATAAAATTAGAAAACGAGAAGTATATTTTTGTTGAGAAAATAACAGTTGAATTGATTTTTTTTAGCACAACAATTGAATTGAATTAAAAAGAGCTACCTCTCGTTTAGAGCCTAAAAATATTTGATTATAAATTTTTCAAAAAGATGCAAAGAATTAAAAATACCAATAAAATATTTATAGGCATCCTAAACTATACTACTCCTAGTCCTAATTATAAGAGCTAGTTGACTAATTTGAGAAGATTAAGAAAAGAAGTTAAGCTAGTTATTTATTATAAATAGTTATTGTTTTTCCTAAAATATCCTTACTAATTAAGTGTATTGGTTAGTATTATCATTTATTACAAGGACTATCTTAAAAAAAAAGATAAATATTAAGACAAAGTTGATATTGGGTTTTTTTTATATTTAGGATCAAAATTAAAATCAA